AGGGAGCGGGAGCAGCGGCCAGCGCTGGAGCGGGGAGGACCCGCGCTGAGCGAGGGCGCGTGGCGGGCAGCGCTGGAGCTAGGTTCCTGGTTAGCCTGAGTCCTCCACGGCCTGCCAGATGAGCCTGCGTCCTTCAGTCAGGGTTTTGCACTTAAGTGAAACCATTTCTTTCTTTCTTTTCTTCTTCTTCTTCCTTTTTTTTTTGCGGACCCTGTTCTCTTGTCTTCCTTGTTTTGGAATGAGGCAGAGGCAGGTGGTGGATCCCGTGGAAAGAGTGTGGGTTTTGATGACGCAGGCCCTGGGTTCGAGCCCTGTCTCTGTCTCTTGGTCTAGTTATGTCTAGAGTAGCAGTTCTGCTGCTCTAAACTTGCCTTAATGATAAGGCAACAGGTACAGAACTGTTCTGAGAGTGAAATGAATCCAGGGACCCGTGAAGGCCCACCTTCCCATTCCTGGGAAGTGGGCGTTATGGTCAGGCTGCCCTATTAAGAGAAGTCAATGGATTGGGAAAAAGTGGTTTTAGCAGCTGGGAGGGGGGTGAACAGCAGGTGTTCTGGGGATAAGGAGCCAGTGGGGTCCTGGGTTGAAGGGTTGGCAGGGATGGGAGAGCACAGTGCATGATATGCTTGGCAGGGGAGCAGGGAATGCTTGGAAGGGGTGACTCTCAGAAGTGGGAAGGGGGGCCCTGGAGGGTGAGTGGGAGGCGGAGTGGGGAGAGACCTGGTTAGGGAGGGTGCATTCAGTGGTGCCAGAAGAGGACCCAAGAGGAGGGTGTGCTGAGCCAGTGACCAGCAGACCATGCCACAGTGGCCTGCTGGAGCATGGTGGATTGCTCACCCCAGGGCCTTGTGTGGCACCTGTCAGAAGTTAGGTGTGCTGGGAGCTAGCTGCAAGGGCTCACATGCACGTTTGGTGTATGTGAAAGAGGGAGCTGCCCCAGGGCTCACATGCATGTTTAGTGTGTGGATGGTTAATATTCGTGTTATTTTCTTTTTAGTAATAATGGACAAGTACCAGGAGCAGCCTCATCTGTTGGACCCACACCTTGGTAAGCACTGAAACTGATGATTTTGTTGGTTCAGGTACAGGTGACCACAAAGTCCTGTGAATGGTGATGGCTCCTGTGTGTGCTACTCCCAGAAGATACCGGGGTAAAGTGTCCATGGTGCAGGTCTTATTTGCTGGAGGGCCTGGTAGCTAGTTCTAGTGCACCTTTGGTGTGACTTTAGATTGTGCACGGATGTGTCTGAGCTGCTTTCTCCTGCTGCTATTTGGGAACACTTTTCTTCTTGCGTGTGTCTTAGTTTGTTAAGTCTGGGCACAGGGTGTCCTGCTGGTAATCATCACACGGGTCCCCATTCCATCCCCATAGCAGCTAAGGAGAGTGTCTGCCATCTCCATTTTTAAAGATGGAGACACTGATCTGGACCTGCAGTGTATATCTTTAAATATTTGACCATTTCATACAGATAAATTTTTTTTTCTTTTTGTCCTGGGGAAGGAGAAGATAGCCCTGGTGGCTAGGTTGGAGAGGCAGCAGGGGCAGGTGCATAGGCTCACATGGGGCTCTGTCACTCAGGGGTTGGTCTGTGGCTGGAGGATGGGGTGTGCAGACCTGTATGAGAGACGCCCTGTGGTGTGCACATGCTCATGTTGAGTTTCTCTTCTCCCAGTGATAGGATTCTCAGGTGGGCCTTGTGAACTCACCTGTTTCAGCCCCCTGTGTCCCGACCTACAGTTCCCTGAGGATTGACATGCTCTGGGCCTTTCTTCCTAGGTGGAATGTTTGTAGACAGACGGCTGAAGACGTTCTCCTACAGTACAGGGACGTCACGCTGGTGTTGTGGTCACTGCTATGCTCCTCTTTCTTTTGTGCCGAGTTAGATGTTGGCTCTCTGTAGTGATCCTTGGGGTCTTAGCTTCTCTCTGAGTCCTCTACTTTTTGGTCTCTTGCACGATGATGAAGTTCTTTACCTTGTTATTTATTTTTTTTTTAAATTTTTTTTCAGTTGTAGATGAACACATAGTATCTTTATTTATTTTTATGTGGAGCTGAGGATTGAACCTAGTGCCTCGCACATGTGAGGCAAGCACTCTGCCACTGAGCTACAGCCCCAGCCCTCCAC